TGCCAGGACCACCACGAATGTTTGATGATTGATACAAATGCAATTAGGCCACAAACAGTCAACCCTAATTAAAAGTGATGGCAAGCCATTTGTGATCATGTCTACAAATGACAAATAATGAAGGTGCTGAGGTAGAATCGTAACGCCAAAAAATAAAATGAGATGAAATATCAATTGCTGTACGCTTATATGTAAATTAGTAGCCCCGTCATTTGAAAGACCAGGTCACAGCAAATTCTAGTTGTGGCTATAACATGCTATTAATGGAGAATATTTCGTACAAATGAAACAAAATGAAAGCAATTCCTATAAACAAACCTTAAAAGGTAGACGCCCGTAACTTCGAGTGGATTATGATCTGTTTACAATCTTGTTGGACCCAAACGTCTACGGAAGTTGGCTGGATAACAAATGGAGAGTCCAAGAAATACTTTAAAGTAGTAAACATACCTGGGGCGGAAACTGAACGTCACTGAAAGAGGCGACGCCATCAGTCGTCGAACGCGCCTTTGTAGATGCCGACTTCCGCGATGGAGGCTTCTGTGGCTTCCCAGGCGTTGGCGGAGGAGCAGGCGCCGATGCTGATGCCATAACAGAAAAGCCCTCACCGTCACCTCCCACCTCAGTTTCTCTGGGGAGAATTGTGGTGGAGGTAGTCGTGGCAACATTGGAGGGCTGAGGGGGAGACGGAGTATCCTCAGAAAGCACGAGGTGTACAGCGCAGTAGGGTAGCAGAGGTACACAGGGCCGATTACATCGATGTTCCCACGTTGTAGTAGTTGGGTCGCGGTACTTGCACGATTGCTGGCCTCCACCTGAACGCTGCCACGGTGCCAGTTGGGTTGACATGATGGCAAATTTTGATACTGCTGCTGCTCTCTTGGCGTTTTCTACCTGAACAGTCAGAGGTTACCAGAAAACAGAATCAGGGAGTGGGGATACACACCATAAAAATCTAAGGTGATGGAATGAATACGAAAAATGGATTCAGACCACAAGAATGCAAAAAAGGGGTGCAGCCACCGTTGGGACTTGAAGTGTGCGTGCGTGCTTAACCGGAGATTATAAACCTACTCTGCTAGAATGGCGACCGAAACGTCGAAGAGCACGAAGCTCAGCCGATTTATGACCACCTAAAAGCAAAATGGCAATATCTAACCACTTTGTTAAAATCAATCTGAAAAAAATAGTTGCAAGGCAGCATTTTGTCCATGAGTGACCCAATGCAGAAATTACGATAAGGATAATAATAGCTGAGAGACACGAGTCTCCAAGGCCATTCAAGACCCCACTAATCATGACCTCAAAGTCCGTAGTCTTCCATAAGTCTTATACCAAAACCTAGATCATGCATATAGGACAAATGGGATGCTTACTAGCAAGGGTAGAATTCTTTGAGTCGCCCAACGAATCCACAGAAGGCGTTATTTTACTGGTCACACCACCGCCGACAGCCTCAATCGGACAAGAGAAATTTGACTGAGCTTTGTTTTCGACAACCTCTCTCACATAGTTTTCCACCATAGTGTCACGCAAAAAGGTCATTGCTTTGCCACACAGCCGAAGGTAAGCAGACCATCGGTCAATTGCCTGCTCTATTACTTCTTCTCTCGTAAAAATGCCAGCGCGTCTGCGAAAATCGGAAATACATGCACAAAAGATCCTGGATGCAATTACAAGCCAGCGTAAGTGATAAGGTAAGGTGAAAGCAAAAGTATATCAGCCCTTATGACAGTTCTGAAGGTAAGGAAGCATTGTAACTTCCATGGTAAACAAGAGTGAAGACAAAAACTACGTGCTTTAAATATCGAACTCCTCTAGTTCGGTCGGAGGACTGATTATCACTGTTGTTTGAAGAAGAAGAGGAAGAGGTTTCCGAATCGGAAGAATAGCTATCGGATGAGACGCTATCACCGTCCGATGACCACGAATCCAAACAATCTTGCTCACTCATTCCTCTAAAAGTTTGAAAAAATCTATGTAACAAAAAAACATCTGCAGCACTGATAAGGACAAATTTCTGCTAACAAATCGAATGTAGAGGTACGGAATGCAGCATGATAACATTTCGATTTTCAAGTTTTAAAATGTGCTTAGCAGACAGCACAAATGGAATACGACACGAGACGATAGAGGAAAATCGAATCAGGCCTGCGAATGAAACCTTTGGATATCGTGCCATGAAGACGACTTACAGAAGCTGAAAACATCAAAAACAGTCCTCTAAGAGGTAAAACAAAACATAAACATGAGAAAACGCTTCAGTAAAGAAATAGAAATTCCATAAATTCACCTAACTGTTGATTTGTGATAAAAAATAGCATTTAGAGATACTGCAATCATCTAAAGATAGTCAGGAGCCTCCATAATTTTAACCCAAATTGTTACCCATAAAAACACCACACCAAGGAAATGCAATTAAAGAAAGAATTAAGAGTGCGTAGAATCATGTAGGATCGCGCTCGGCTGTTAACGCATTTAAAACCGAAAATTAAAGCAAACGCGAGAAATTTAACACAATACACAATAGATTTCTTGAGGCGGTGCACGAGGGAGAAACAGTACAAGAACAACGAAATAAGCTGGAGACATCAAACATAAAAATTGCTCCAATCAAGTCCAAGATCTTGCACTGTTCGCGCAGGTATGGCGAAAATAACTGTAAAGCTAAATCAAAATCAACCAATTTGCTTTGTTCGCTAGCGATTAGTGACATTAAAAAGTAAGGCTTGCGATTTGGAACAATTTGTATTTTCAAAATCTTCTTTATCCGGCAAATATTCCATTGAAAAACTAAAAGGTAAAACCAATGATAGTGAAAGTTTTACAAATTGTATTTAGAATAGTTTAGCTAAATATAATAAACAGTCTGCAGCGTCCTGAGACTTCTCAGCCAGCATAAGAAGTCAGTAAGTGCAGCTGGATACATTTATCTAGAAGATGACAGGGCAAATGGGACCTGAGAGTGGCCCGAATGCCAGACAAATCCCAAAGTGACTGCCAAACGTCATGTAGCCACTCGAAAAAGACATTAGACTACCTCTCACGCCAGCCATTACAACACATTCGGTACTATATGAAAGCACCCACGAGCCACCCCACCCGGTCTCCTCGGAATCTCTAACTGGATCTGCGGTTACGTTCGATCAGACGATCAGATTCCGGGCCACTTACACCCGTTGACCATCAATTGCTTCCAGGAATAGGCAGTGGAACTCGGGTATGAAACATGTATGTTACAGGAAAAACGGGATGACCCTCTGTCTCCATACGCAAGGAGAACCGTAGTGCCATTTCCAACACCTAAACACGGATTCTGTTTGGGAAATTCCGACACGAAATTTTTGCAGATGGCTCACGGCAGTGTCGATTCAGTTGTTAATAGCTTGTCTGTGGAACACGGAAATAAGGTGAAACCAAATGAAGACGTCTGTCCACATCCTTTCGTTGCGAAGGATTCGAGGATTCGTCCGCCACCATTGTAAATGCGCCTCCTTCAATTCACGTCCCCCTTTCGCCTTTATCTTCATTTATTGCACTTCGATAGAGTCACACTTCCTTCTACGCATGTATAGTTCATGATTGCCAACGCTCAACGCCACGTTGCGCTTATTAATCTTGGCTTTCTTCACTAAAAAGCAGAATTTTTCTTCTCAACCTTGTCTGCTGGTTGGATTATAACCATCTTGACGTGAAGAATCCGATCTTGGTGTAGCTGCATGCATTGCCCAATCGAACCATTGCTCGTTGGCCTGTTCGTATTGTTCTTTTCCGGAAATCAGTTGATTAATTGGCAAAGCTTAGCAACACAAACGAAGAATGCCAGTAAGCCAGCGGTGTCTGTTGGGTAGTAGATCTTCCCGGACTCTATGTTGCTTTTAACAAACGACCGACGAAGGACAAGGCGAGTTCGCTTTCCACTGCCCCCAGTGTAGCGTCCCGAGACTTCGTGGCCTGTATAAGAAGTCAGTAAGTGCAATTGGATGCATGTATTTTGAAGACGACAGGACAAATGGGGTCCGGACATGGCTTGAAGACCAGCCTACATGTACAAGAACCAGATAAGACCCAAAGTGACCGCCAACCGTCATATGGACAATAAAAAAATATTACACTGTCATTGAAATACCTTAACATTAAACTACCACTTAGACTGGAGTTCCTTTTTGCAACCATCACGATTTGTGCCTTAAGGTAAGTCAAAGCTAATTCTCCATCTATGGTTCCTCGGATATATATCAATAATTTTCATCACATAGTTCAAAATTCGAGAGCGCTAAACTAGAGGCAACCGACTATTATTACCCTTATCCTTATCTCCATCCTTTGTGAAGTAGTCTGGCGGTGCGAATCAAGAGCTGCGCACCGAGTCTGAGTTTGGCATTTCCCCCATTCCTGTAATTCACTTGTAGCGATTTACTTAATGTGGCATTTTGATTTTGGCGGTAATGAATGCAGCCTCCCAAGACTTCCCACAAGGTAAAGAAAGGCAGTAAGTTGAGCTGGATACCTGTATTCCAAAAAGAACAAATCAGCTAGGCCTGAGCATGACCCAAGGGCCAGCCCACGAGTACAAGGGCCAGAAAAAAACCAGAGATTGCCAAACGTCGGGTGGTCACATAAAAAAAGCATTACAACGGTGTTATTCGTCTAGTTCTCTTACGCGTGTGATGGCCTTCAGCCTAAGCCATGACCCAATCTTTTCTTCCCTTTCTCGAAAGCTAAACTTAGTATCTATTTATTTAAACGAGGGACATTAAGGCGCTATACGCCAAGAGTCATTAATATTCAAAACGACAGTTGTAAATGTAATGCTTTGTTTATGTGACTACTGGACGTTTGGCGGTCACTTTAGACTTTGTCTGGCCCTTGTACACGTAGGCTGGCTTTCGGGCATGTTCAGGCTCCGTTTGCCCTTTCGTCTTCGGAATATATGTATTCAACCTCACTTGTGCCTTCTTCCACCCTATGGGAGGCCTCGGGACGCTACAGTAAACAATGTTTAGAATTTTGTTCTAAGTTCCCCTTACTGGGTTTATCTGTATTGTCCGCGATGGCCTTCTACTATACGATTCGCCATTCAGAAAATCCTCCTGTTGGCTAATTTTTTTAAAGATTAGTTAAATTTTGAAATAAAGGTAATCAAGAGCCAAAAAAACATTCAAATGTGAATTCAGGTAGAGTCGACGTTGCTGCGCAGGTTTAAAGCATTTCTTTAGTCTCATAGAAGCTGATTGCTAGCGTGACAATCTTGCCGGCCTAATCTGGAAGCATCAAATACGTTTTAAGGTCTGGTGGGGGAATGCTTTGTTTATGTGACCACCTGATGGCTTTGGGCCATGCTAAGGCCTAATTAGTTTGTTCCCTTCAAAATACATTTATCCAGCTCCCCAATCCCAGCAATCAATTCCTTTGCAGTTCTTTCAAAAAAAAACAAAAGTAAAACACCACAAGTACTGTAATAATTTGCTTATGTTACTATCTAATGTCCAGTGGTGACTTTGGTATTTGCCTAGTGCTTGTAGGCGTAGGCTGGCCTTGGACAAACGTAAGGTTCTAACACTTCTTCCCCTCCCAGAATACATGAATTGCTTGTCTTAAAAGCCTGGAGGAGGTGTGGGAGGCTGCACGTTGATAAGGGGTGGATGGAAATT